TAAAGATAGCCTCGCGTGAAATCAAAATGGGTCAAACTGAAACATTTCAACAGATGGACGTCGGGTCTTTACTGAAAATTGCTTATCCAAATCATTTTCAGTTTTACAATCTAATTTTTAAAAGCTGTTTAATTATTACCAAAACCGTATTTAGCTTGCTAAATACGGTTTTGATGGAATGGAGCACGAAAACGGATGTTAGCAGGATAACCCCTTCCACTGATTCTCCTAATTCTCCCCCTCTCTAACAAAAAGCTACATCAATATATAGATTTTTCTTGCGACTCGGGTGTGTGGCACAGCCACAATGAGAGTATCTATGTGTAAAACGGGCGACTTACAGCTTGCCTTGCTATCTCAGTGGACGCCATGGTGAGTGCTGTTAGCTGGAGAACAAATCCTCCGCCGCTCTGAGGTTAGCAAAGGAAGCCGCACCGTTTACGTTATACTCAAAGCTGGCCTGCTCGGAACGTACCATTTATTTCAGCCGTTTTACGCTCGTAGTGAAATAAAAATACAAAAAATAAAATCATTATTCATATATTTTTAAAATTTTATGAATTTAATTTTTGGATAAATATTTTCTAGAAGACGGAATTAAAGCGTTAAAGCCACTGAACACCCCCTCACCGTCGACACCCCCCGCGCAAGATGCCATCATGGTTGCGGCTGATGGTAAGGAAGGGTAGTGAACGTTCAAACGGAAAATCTGATGTAGAAACAATGCAACGATATTCTTTTCATTTGGGGAGGGTCTTCATAATTAGATGTTGAGTAATAATATAAATATACGAGCTTTTATATACAACATTATTAAATTTGCCCATAACATTGTGGATACAAAATTGGAGTTCATGATTAATAACCAAATATTACAAGTGGAAGTTACACAAATGTAATTCTTAAAAGTTGTTTCTCGACGTATATATTTTCCAAAGTAATGACGCTTTTCCTCAGCTCTTTGAAAAAGCTTGGACAAAGAATGCTACTTTTCTCTATCATGGTATTTCCCTTTAAATTTTTGACATGTCTATTATTTTAAACATATGTATCTCATGCATAAAATATAACATATGTCTTATACATGTCTACTATTGTTTTATGTTTGTTCTTATTTGTTTATTTATTCATTCATTTATTTAAAATTTTTTTGTGCACTATGCTGGGACAAACAACATTTTTGCCCCTTAGGGATCAATAATGTATTATTATCATACGTGCTCATATGGTAAACATTATTTTTTTCTAATGCTATGATTCACTTATTGTGTTATATGGCCTTTGCACTACCTTCCCCTGTCTCTTTTTCCCATTTTTATGACTACTGCTCGTTATTCCAAATGTTTGCATAGGAATTCTATATTATTGTAAGATTTGTTGATTTGCAATAAAGTTATTTGGAGAAAAAAACGTTTCAAACGGAAATTAGCAATAGCAAGTAGCTCTATTTCCAGAAAACTGTTACAATATCATTCCATATGATTCCACAGAACATGAAGCAGCGTTCATAGATGCACATATCGTACTCCTGTTCAGCGTAACTAGAACTGACACTAGCCGCCACAAATCACAAACAACTACAAATCAAATCTCTGGTCATTCAGTTTTAGCTAGGTGGGCTTACTGATCATTGAAACCATAGAAACGCCTTTTTAGTCACGTGCCTGAGATCGACCAATAGTAAGGACGCATCGTATTTAAAGTGAGGCGGCGGCTGTTGGAAGCAACACTACAGTTTTGTACCACAACAAGCTGGCAACGAGGAGAGGATTAACAACGAAGAAAAAAAAAATACAAACAGCGCTTCTTGAAACTCTGTGTCACAAAGGTGGGTGGTAACGTTTAGTTGTTCTTATTACTTTCTGCATAGTAATCTTTTGAATTGCTTCAAGCGTGTAACCCGTCCATCTGGTAACATGAGCTAACAGAAGCTAACGGTCATCGTCGAGTTGGACAGCGGTTAAATCAACGGACACTTTAACTGAAATATTTAAACTGAAACTACTCTATAATGCGCCTAATCGATGTGAACATGTGTATTTGGGTAATTAATACCGCGTTTATCAACTCTCGGACTTTCAGTAGTTACACTGCCAAAGGCACCAATACCTGGTGGAAGGACCTCGGTAGCACTTTGACTGGCCAGAAACTTTATGTATTCAGTCTTCTAAAGCTGCTATTCTGCGACTTTTGGAAACATTCCTTTTTCAACACGCCTAATAACTGGTTGTTTACCAGGCTATTGCAGACCTGAGTGACTGCTGATGAGGGAATTTGATTCAGGTGTGTTAGAGATTACTCTACAAGCAACAGGTTAATTTGTTGTTTATGGTCATGTCTTAAGTCCATGACCATGAATGTTTTAACTTTTCAGAGATTTGCAGTCAAGTAGCTTGGATTAAGAGAAAATTTGTATGATCTGGACCAAAAAATGCATTAAATGGAGTTTTCAATACCTGTAATAAGTTTCCACCAAATGGCAGAACTATTATCATGTTAAATTTTATGGCTTCAAGCACTGGATTATCTTGAGATGCTTGTGAACCATAATAGATGAAACTTCAATGAACTTTTTTTTTTGGCACTCATCAAAAGATAATGTTGACTGGTGTGTCAAAGTTTGTTAATGTAATTTCAACTTGCTGCTGAAATGTGCTGTACAAATAAACGTTACTATCTGGGCTAATGCTTCAATTTTGTTTTGTGGACTTGAACAAATTAAATGTTTGGCCCCAGGATATTTTCATTGGGGTAAAAAAAATTGAGAGCCCTATTGCATTTTTTTTCCTAAATAAACCTTACAGTTTGGGGGTGAAGGGAAGCTGCCTCTTTCTGTGACTTTGAGCTCAGCTTTATAAGTTTCTTTAACTGAGATGTTCTTGCAGGAGGAGTGTTTTGGCTGTCTGACAGTCCTTGACTTTTTTTAATTTCTGACACTTCTATGGTGTCAGTTTTCTGCATAACTGTTTACAGATACAATGGCGAGCATAATCTTTGCAGAGCAGGAAAATGCACAACTTGGATCTTCACAAAACTTGCGCCAGCGACTTAAATCTGTTCCAGGTATTATTTTTTTTCTCTCTCTCTTTGTCCATTCCTCGACCCTTGGATTGCAAAAATCCATTAACTTTTTTCCACAACCAGAAAAACTAAAGTCTCCCATGTTGGCCACGCCGCTCTCATCCGGCCGCAAGGCTTTTGGTGTGGTGGGCAACAGGATTTCAACACCAGCCATCAAAACGCACGAGAAGAAACTTGTAAAACCACAGGTTGGCAGTCTAACTTCAGTTTTTCTCTTCTTTAAATCAGTGTTCAAAAGCTTGTTTTTGTTGCCACTAGGAAACAAAAGCCACTCCGACTCCTCAAATCAAAGCAGAGGAATATCCAGAAGTTGAGCAGTTTATCCCTTACGACCCATTAGGTAAATCAACAAATACCTCAACTTAATGCTATCAGATAATTAGAATTCTCTTATCTTTACACTTCAAGTTTTTTTTAAGGTTTGCAGGGAAATGCTCTCTCATCCTAGAGTTGTCCTGGGTTTTACCTGAAGCACTTGACTGCAATGTTTTCTTGAATTGCTTTATTTCAGACTTTCAGCGGTACAGTGTACCTGAAGATCTGATCCCTCTTAGCTGCATGGCTCTGTCTGGGTTGGCTTGCTTTCCACACAGACGTCCTGATCTGAATGAGGAAAAGATGGAAGAGCTCCCATATTTTTCCCCTGTGGAAATGCCAGAGTGTCCAGGTATGAACTCTGTGGTCAAAATTAACTCAATTTACCTTTCAGATGTTTTAGAGACATTGACTGAAAACTCTGCTATAATTAAAACTCCTTACTCTTAGCACAAATGGTTTAATCTTGCATGACCTTTTCCAGTTTGATATTGAAATCTCTTAAGCCAGTTTTGTCACAGAATCTTAAAATAAGGTATTGCAAACAAAATTTATAAGTGTAAAAATGTGAATCTTATAAAAAAATGTTCAGTAAAATGGCTAATGGTGTTTTCCAAACATCTGTCTCTTGCTCCCATTTTTATTTGCATTGAGACTGAATCTAAAATGCTTTTATACAGCATAAAGCTGGATTTGTTTTTTTTTAAGCCTTTACTGTTGTAACACAGGTGGTCTACAGTAGGTGGTGTAAATATAGAAAGTCACTTGACCCTCAGGCTAGATGTAAGGTCATGCTTTGGCAGGAAATGGTTTCCTTTTACAGATGGTGGAAAAAAAAATCTTGTGCCATCTCATGTTAAACATGGTGGCTTGTATTACATGTGTGATTAATCCTGTCTGGACTCCATGTTCTGCATTGAGGTTTCTAATAACATGCAGGTCACTGGACTAATTACAGGTTTGTTTTTTTTTTTGTTGTTTTTTCTTCCCCCAAATCAGGAGAAAAATGTACTGTTGCAAAAACTCTGGCTTATTTATAACGCGACACAATTATGCAGAATGTCCAGATGCATAACAATTTTAAAGCTCTTAGTCATAATCAGTATGTATGATTCCAGGGTTAACTCAAATGTTGCTGCAATGAAAGTCTCTTGATAAAATGCATTTCTGTTCAGTGATTTTTTTTTTTTAGGTAACTGTTGGCCTCAGATGTAAAATTTTGGACTCTATTTTAAAAATGGGGTAATATTTTAATGCATGCGTGGGTTTAAATTAATTATAGTCATTTGCGTCTGGAGCACATGAAGGTGTATTATTAACCTGACTGTCTCTGTTTTCAGCTGACTACACGGAGCTGACCGCGTTTCTTCAAACTATTGATGAGCTGACTGAACTTCCTCCAGAACCTGAATTTTAACGCATTTATTAATGCTCTGTATTTTTGTCTTTGAATAAAGTTGTTTTACTACGTTCTCACTGGCTGCAGAGTTTTTGTTTAGGCTGTGAAAGTATCAGGGGAATAAGCTGAGTGTTACTTCCTGCTTTAAAGTCCACCCGTGGTCACATGTGAGGGATTCTTGCTGTTGGGTTTTTGTCAGATTAGAATGAACTTTGTCTCTGTTCCTCTTTCCAAAGGAAAGCAGGACCTCTGGTTTTGTCTCGTTATGAACTTTATAAACTAAGTGTGAATCTTTTCATCTGGTTTAAATTAAAACGGAGAAGGTGTGTTTTTTTTCTTCCGTTTGATGGCAGGACAGGTGAGTTAATGCTGGCGTTTGATACTAAATGGCTGCTGTAAAGGGAAGTGTTATGATTTGAAAACAAAACTTCCTTATGGGTATTTTTTGCCCACTTTTTTGTGCATTTTTTTTCTCTCTCGACACAGGAAATGAGGGAAATTATTTGCGTTTATTATCTGAGACATCTTCAGGGTGTAGTCTAGAAGGAAATAGGCTGGGAGCTGCAGTCAGCCAGGCGGTATGCATCGCAGCGGCTCGGAACCAGCCGCCCCCGAACCGACACCCAGACAGGGCTCCATTGTGGAGCGGCTGTCTCGGTATGGCATGCAGGTCATGCCCGCAGCCTCCCCGCGTAGGTCGAGGCTGCAGAGGCAGCAAGAAGTCACCGACGGCTCCGCTCCGGACAGAGAGTCCGTCCCGCCGGTTCTGCGTAGAAAGTACCTGAAGGAGCTTCTGCTGAGCCGGGCGTCCAGCAGCGCAGCGGGGTACCAAGTTACATTTACTAAGCTTTTTTACAATATGTGCTGCACTCTGCTTGTATTCAGTATTAATACTCTGGAGAAAAAAAGTTCTGGATTCTTTAACTGAACATGTTTTAACCAGAAATTCATATCTGCAGATTCACGCTTATACCAAAATGTCCACTTTACGTTTCTACGTAGTTTTTAAATTAAATGCATACCAAATTATCAATAGTAGTTTTAGTCGTGACTTAGTAAAGGGCTGTTTTTAACGAGTACATTTATGTTGTGGTGTAATGTTTGGATACCGAGTTCTCTTAAGCGGTGCTGCTTTTGCTCCAGTTTAATCTCTGGTCGTCTGTGCAGCAGCAGCGGGTTGCTGCAGAGCCTCTCCCCGGACCAGGAGGACTCGGACTGGGCTCTGTATCCCATGGAGCACGCCTGGATGCTGCGGGCGGTGGAGGGGAACTACGAAACCATCCTGGACTTCATCTCCGAGGACCCGCAGCTGCTGACCCGGCGGGACTTCATCAGCGGATACTCGGTGCTGCATTGGCTGGCCAAGGGAGGACGGGACGAGGTCCTACTGAAGCTGCTGCGGTTCGCGGAGCGTGCGGGCTTTGCGGTGAACGTGAACCTGCGGGGCAGCGGCGGGCTGACCCCGCTGCACGTCGCCAGCATGCAGGGCCAGTTCGCGGTCATCAAGCTGCTGGTCGGGGCTTTCGGCGCCAACGTGGACGCGATGGACTACAACGGGAAGCGGCCGTGGCAGTACCTGCGGGAGGACGCGCCGGTGGAGATGAAGGAGCTGCTGGGCACCTGGGACGAGGAGCACAGCTGCGGCTGTGCGCAAAACTTCAACAAGAACGTCAACAACAACTGCGCTGGATCAGCGAGCGAGGCCGCATGCGATGAGGCGGATGGCCAAGAGCCTGAAGAAATGAGTTACTTTGACAGAGCCAAGAGAGGCAGCTGGAGGTTCGAGTCTCTAAGGAAACTGAAATCCTCCTTTTCATTTGTTAGAAGCAAAACTTGAGATTATGCCGTACTTTAAAGGGGCAGTGTTCTGTAAAGTCAACCTATTTTAAGGTTTACATCATGTTATGTTAGTCCCTCATCAAAAACAATCCTTTAAACTGCATGGCAACCACTTAGCTGTGGAAAACACCTGAGTGGACCTAGCCCCGCCTTCGAGACGCAGCTCCACCTCAGTTTCCAAGCGTTTCTCCCAGAGCAAGCCTCCATCAGTCTGCTCCTTCAGACTAGCCAGCAGCAATTAGCAAACACCTGGTAGGACTTGTTTTATGACCTACTTCTCAGTGTGACTCTGGTAAAAATGTTGTTAGAGGGTTAATAGAGGAGCCATGTTTTGACAACTTCCTGAAAAGGGAGTTTCTTAAAGAGCCAGGCCCATAATTTCAAGACTTTACAATGCAAAATCGAATAACTTGTCATTTGATTTATACTTGATTTTTTTACAACTGAAAATAAGGCCATTATCAAAAAATAATGGCACCACGTGCCTGGAAAATAGGCAATATTGCCCCTTTAAATTATGTGAACATGCATGTTTTGGTGATTGCATCTTTTCAAACATGTAATTTTGATGAGTTGTTTTTTTTTCCTCTACATGATCTTTAGCTTATAGAAAAATCAAATCTAAAATTTCTACCGATTCATTGTTTATGAACAAAATTCTAATGCATGCTTAATTGCTGCTATCAGATTAGAAAGTACCAAATCCTGCATGATGCGTACAGTCAATTAAAATTTACATTACAGATCTGCTTTTACAGCAAGTTAGTTACTATAAGTTTGCTATGAATTGTCCTTAAAATGTGAAGAAAATCTGCATGTTGAACAATTTCACAATCTCCTTGCTGCTTTCTCAAACACTTAAGAAATAAAAGTGTGACAGACTTACTCAATGACATTTCTTGCTCATGCCATTTAAAGTCAGCAGGTTTTGTCAAAACAAAAACAGGAAACGCTTGTAAACGTCCAAATGGATCTACTGGGTTTCTGCTGTTCCTAACACTTTTTATCTGCTGCTAAATTAAGCAATTTAAATAACTGCTGTCACATTTTAAATAAATGCAAACTTTAAAGAAATAGCAACATGTTTTTATATGGGTCTGAATGCTAGTGCCTTATATTTTACACAAACGCCTCAAAGCATCTAATGCTATGAACAGGTTTGCAGTAGAAATCTGCAAAATCAAAATCTTATCAAGTATTTTTAAACATATTTGTACGAGTTTCTCATACAAATATCTCGGTACATTTGAAATAAGACTTAGCGGCTTATAAATAGCTTATTTTAAAGAAAATAAAAGTACTAGTTCAACATTAAGATTATTTCACTCAAATGTTTTTGAGTGAAATAATCTGCCAATGGAACTTGAACTTTCAATAAATTATAGACTTCAACTAAGATCTTGCTAAAAAGTTGCTTCTAAGTTAGTTTTTCTCATTTCAAGAATACTAGGATATTTATTTAACTCCACTAACATTTAGTTCAAGTCGCTGCCATGTTGGGTAAAAACAGTTTCATCTTCTGTAAGTTGTACTCCAAATATTTAATGAAAGATTGAGTCAAATGGAAATGTATTTTAAGAACATTTTGACTACAAAAGCTGCCACATGCAGTTACATACAAAATATATATTTTTAAAATTCTCATTTTTATCAATACTGCCACAAAATGTGTTTTTAGTCCACATCTCCCACCTTTAAATGCAACTGTTAAATAATCTTTTACTCCTATCACTAGAAATCATTTCCCCCACAAACTAAATTCTGCTATAGCAAAGAAAAAAACTCAACCATTTGCATTTCAAATCTGACTTTTTATTGTCAAACACGAAGAAAGCCAGAGTGTCTGTACAAAACGAACTCTGCTCCAGATGACGCAGCTCCCTCCAGACGTCTGGAGGTCGGGACAAACAGCCTCCATGTTTACAGGCCGAGCTTCGTTCTCCTCCAGTGTCTCCTCTTGGAGTTGTACCTGAAAACAAGACGGAGGGAAACGTTGAGTTTTTTCATGTTCTTAGTGATGCTTCAACTCGCCATAACATCATTTTTATGTTCTGAAAACATTATTAAAACATTAATTATTTGTCCTGCAGCTGCAGTTTCCTCATCACCACCGGGGTGAGGAAGAAGAGGAGTGCAGCAGGAGGAAGATGCTCTCAGCAGGGTTAATGACGGCACTCTACTGATGATGAGCGCTGCATTTGCAGACCTGCTTTAAATTATAGATTCCATATTTTTCTTCTATCCATTAGTCTGTGAGGTATCACAAAAACTTTAATATAAATAAATCAGGAAAACAGACCAAAATGAAGACTGATGGCCACCAACATCGACTTTTTAATGAAAATATTATTAAATCAAATAAGGACAACATTGTGTTACCAGACTGAGTGAGTTTCTACACAAATTGATTTTGAACATTTAGCTGAAAGAAAAACAAACAAAAAAATCTTTTGGGAGTATTCTTACATTTTATGCCGCTTTTAATAAGTTTTAAAGTTTTCAGAATAATTTTCTTATTGTGTGGCAGAAAAGCACAAAACCAAAATGCTGCATTTTTTAACTTAACAAAAATGAATTAATTCTGATTGAATTATGTCTGTTCAATCAGAATGTGCTGAATGTGAGAGTATCAATGACCATATTGGTCATTGGTTAATCAAGAGTCACTATGTGGCATTGTTGTAAAACAAATGATTATTCAAAAGGTCAAAGCCATGAAAACACAAGTCTAATTGTGTTCAGAGAGTCGAGTTCCGATTGGATCCCACTCTGGTAAGAATCTAATCTGATGCTCACAACAATAATGGTGTGAGAGGTTGAGATTTGAGCTGGGTTTTTTGTTTTGGGGATTTTTTGTGCTGGAAGTTGTCAGAACTGTAAACCCTGCACACAATAATCACTAGAAAGTGAGACAAGTGATGACTGGACAGCAGAAAGTTTTACTAGATGCTCCAATTTTGAGCGATGCCAACCGACCAGGCACCGCTGGTGAGTCGTTTGACGGAAAACAATAGGTTAGTTATTCACATAGATTGCTGAACTTAGGTTTATAAGCAAAGTGAATTTGACAAACTCTTTATGCAGGAAAAATCCCACTGTCTATGAGTCATTTATAGAAAAAATAAAAATGTCATTGCCATTCAAGGTTTGTACAAATCTGCAACCAAAACCTAACTTTGTGGCTTTGGAGGAATATAAAAAAACTGAGTTATGTATCCAAAATCTTCAGTAAAGGAATTGTGTTTGTACTTTCACATTACCGTTGGTAAATACAAATGTATTTATGTCCTACCAAATGTGAGATATTGTACACACACAAGTCAGTATTTTGTGAAGTTATGATACTGTCAATATAATCATGTAAATTTGAATGAAGTCAATCTTCATGTTACCAAACACACCTAATAGTCATTTTTACAGTTAGAATGATATTGGTATTGCTGTCAACATATTCCTTATCTCTGCTCTTACAGGAACAGAAAATCAGCCAAGAAAAATGACCGCAGCTCCTGGATTGGCTGCTTTTTAAATGCTACCCAATAGCATGGCACACAATAATGCATGCAGATTCAACTTCCATTTCTTTTGAATATTTCTCACAAGCTCTATCAAAAATACAAGATGTCCAAATGTTTGTCAAATAATTTAGTCATGTTCCACAGGAACTCAAAGAATACTGCACCAGAAATATGCAGAAGTCCACTGCATTTGGATTGTTTATGTGTTTTGTGAGCTGTATTCTAGTAACATAAATTTAATAAATTTATGTAAATAATACACTACTTAATCTAACAATAACACAGTTATACATTGGCATGTTTTCATTTCATAAGTTCCTGTGAAGACTGTTAATCATTTATGTCCACATTGCTGTCATGAGCATCCTGTACACAGGCACAAAAATATTTAACATCTATTAAAGCTGTTTGTAGATTATTTTCAGGTTGGTACCTGAAAATTTAGTAAATTAAAAACTGAATTTACGCTCCTTTAAGCAGAACATTTACCTTCAGATTCAAGATCTAGTCACACTAAACAATGCTGTAGATTAAATAATCCCACTTGCTCTTTAAAAGTGAAGTTTCATATTTATAAAGCTGCAGCATCAGAAACGTGAAAACTCACCTGATCTTGTTGCCAGTTTTCATTCTGATCCACTGAGGAATCGGCCGGTTCTGTTTCTGCTTCTTGGCCAGAAAGCGTTTGATCCTGAAGGTCTTGTGGGAGGACTGGAAAATGTAACAGAACCCAATCAGTAACAGGTTTGTATCTAAAGTTTGTACTTCACATCCTTATGATGAAATCGTTTCACATTGCCCAGGGAAAGTTCGGAGCTAGCATACCTAGCACCGTATTTCGGTTAATTTAATCATGTTATCTGCGTATTTTTCCACGACATGCGGACACTTTCTTTACCAATACAATATATAGCATTCATTTCGAGTAACAGTTACGGATTAAAAACTTTGTCAATGTGGATGTTTAATGATTTTATATTTACCATTTTCTCCACAATCTTTTCCCCACTATGGCGGTGGTCGAAGAGAAAGAAGGACGTGACGTAAGCAACTTTAAGCAGTGAGCCTCCTGGGAGCAGCGACACCAAGCGGCCAATGGAGGAAATGGAGGCAGTTTTTATGGCAATTCATAACTTTTGCCACAAATGACAAAAAATGACTCTTTTCCAAATGAAAAGGCAATTTACAAATGTTGACTATTGCATTTTTTTTACACTAATAGCCTTAGAACAAATTTCCCCCCTTTTTTATGTAAAAGTTTCATGATTTTCCTTATTTTAAAGCCTAAAAACAAGAACAGAATTTTCTTTCATTACATGAAATGGAAAACAAAAATTGTATGGTAGGCTATTTTGTTTTGGCTGCACACTGGACAAGTCACCTATCCTTCAGGTGCACCAATTTATTTTCAAAACAAATTATAACATGACATATTGGTCCATGAAATATGGTTTTACTTTTTTGCATCGCCATTTAGGGTGGGTTTCTTAATCAAATTTAATACTTGAATGTTTATCAAAAATGTTTTGATTCATTTTTGGCTACACAAATGCAAATATCAAATAGTTTATTTAAAGAGTACAGATATTATTAATTACTTGATATTAAAAATGCATATGTTGTTCTGTAATTAAGACATTAAACAGTTTTATCATTAAATTATTCCCTAATATATTTTTCTTAATATTCATGCTTAGAAAATCAAAAGTTGAGATGGAAAACGATGGAAAGTAAAATCAGAGACAGACTTCAGCAAGTATTTTTATTTCTAGGCAGAGATTGTGTAATTCTGTTAGTATTACCAGCAAATATTTGTTCCGATGTTTTACTCAGTTCACAAAAATGAATGTTTAAGTTGATTCTGAGTTGGAAAAATGGCTTTCTCCTCCATCAGTTGCATAAAAACCACAGAGCAAAATATAGGTTATTTAGTACAAATTATAAACCACAGTGTGTCCAAAAAGTTCTCACACCCATGTTATAATGCAGTCCAGAATGAACCTCTTCAAAACTTTTTCATCCTTAATGTGACATTTATCTTGTACAATAAAAAAAAACTGAGGATAAACTAAAACTATGTTGAAAAGAGTGTTCATCTGGCAACAATTACAGTAAATCTGATTAACCTGAAAAATGTTCAGCCTCCCAAAACCTTCAGGAAAAATCCCACAATTTAAAAGTGTCTGTTTGGCACAAAACAACTCAGTACATCACCAAAAAGAACACCATTCCTTGGGTGAAACATGGTGGTGGCAGCATCAGGATGTGCGATTAGAGTTTTGCTAAAGCAGATTAAATTACAAACAGACCCAAACTTCAGTCAATTCAAGGAGGACAAACTATAATTAAATACAATAAAACTATTTCAACTACTGAGTTCAAAGCTACAGTGTGTAACTATATATATATATATATATATACATATATGCCAGCATGTGAGTTTGTCCTGAGACCGATAATCTGTGAAAAGATTGATTTCCTTCACCTCCTCTCTGAACTACTACTGCCATTGAAGAAATGCAACAGTTCCGACAAAAATCAACCAATCAGAGCCAGGAGGAG